TCACGCCAGCGCAGAGGGGCTGGATTCGAGCATGCTCTTGTGATGCTATTTGGCCTGCGGACAAGGCCCTGGCATGTGGGTGTCAGGTCGACCCGCTCTGCCCTCTCTGCTCTGCTGCGCCCGATTCAGTGTTTCACAGGATTTGGCAGTGCACGGCGACGGAAGCTCAAGAGTTGCGGACTCAGCTGGTCCCGGCCTCAGTTGTGCTAGACGCCATCGCCGTGTGGACAGCTCAGGCGGAACCTGACCCTCACGTGCGAGCACTATATACTAGAGGAGCTTTCGCTCATCCCGCCGATGTTTTGCCGCGTCCTGTCGTGGAGGGAACGAATGCCCTTCAGTTCGTTTGGCATTGTGACGAGCTTCAAAGCCCTGAAGGTCCCAGGGTCCCAGTGAACGGGGAAATGTGGGGTCATGTCTTCATTGATGGGTCCTGCCAGCGTCACCCGATCAAAGAACTTTCAAGAGCTGCCTATGCTGTTTCAATGAACGCCGATGATGGCACTTGCCTTGGAGAGGCGAGAGGCCCTGTCTGGGCTCATCTTCCTCAGACGCCTCAGGCGGCTGAATATGCTGCCAGATGCGTCGCCGCTCAGTTCCTGGTGTTGCCGACCACTATTTACTCGGACTGTGCCAATGTCGTGTCTCATAGTATGTTGCCCTTGCCAGAGAGATACTCGGGCAAGAGGTCGTATTCAGGAATGATTATGTGTGCCAACAACTTTGAGGGCCGTCTTTTGGAAGGCATTGTAAAGGTCAAAGCTCATTTAGATGTCCATCAGGAGGGCATCTCGGAGAGAGAACGTTTTCTCAGGCGTGGAAATGCTGACGCTGATGCTGGTGCCAAACATGCCCTTCAGCTTCACCCTTCTGACCCGTCTGAATTAGCCAATGTTGACAAGCTTGTGGAAGCGGCCAGGGGTTATTGCATCCTTGCTGCTAACTTGCTTCCTTTATGGCCTAAGCTCTCTCTTGACGTTCCTTATTTCCCTCCCCCTCCTGCTGAGCATTCAGGCACCTTCAGTAAGGTAGGTCGTCGTTGGGAAAACTGGGCTGGTGTCTGGAGGTGCGCAGTTTGCCTCCGTGGGAGTAGGGGCACGACACGCCCTTCCCCTGGTCGATGCCCCCAGGAGTCTAAGTTGCATGCCGCGCGGCAGGATGCTCTAGGGCACAGAACTGTTGCCTTCGACTGTTCAGATAAGTCAGTGTTATTCATATGCCTGAAATGCAAATGCCACTCCACTGGTGGCAGGGTTAGAGGCTTAGGGGAAGTCTGTAAGAAGCCTTCCCGCGCGGGTCGTCTTGGTTGGGCTGCCTTGTGTAAGGGTATTCATCCACACTACTCCCGGTCGAGTAAAGGTGTTACAGTTGATGATACCTCTCTTGTGCGCTGCTTTAACTCGTATTTGGTTGCGAATCCTGATTTTACGGAGGATGGTGACAAGAGCTCCGCTTCCTCTGGCTCGACAGGTAGTGCTGCCAGCGCTGGAGGGCAGGAGCCTGCCCGCTCCGCAGAGTCTGCTACTGCTTCTGTTGCAGGCGTTCCTGTCTGCAGCGTTGCGCCCAGCTCTTCCTCGAGTGTTGTGGTCGCCTCGGCCGCTGCCACCAGGGAGTGCTCGAGGCGCATTGCTGCTTCTCTCCGCCGCGAGGCGGATGATATGGGAACGGGTGGGGCTGTGGAGGCGGGGTCGGGATCGGATTGACTTGCAGCGTTCTAGCCTGCCCTTTTCTTTTGGCAGGCGTGCGCCCGTCTTCTTGTGTGGTTGCCGTTCCTGCGCAGCCACCCATTCTAATTCAGTTTTCTGTTCTCAATCTTATCCTCGGCCGTGCTTTGCCTCCTCGGCCCTCAGGCTGTTGTGGCATAGGTCGCGGCTCCGCGATCTAAGCGGCGACCGCCTGTCCGCTCAGGATGCTCTCCGCGTTGCCGATCTTTTTACCAGCTGATGGTCCAGCTGGTGTTTGTTCTTCTCCTGTCATTCGCCACTAATGGCAGGTGTGGTTACTTGTGTGGTGAGCCGTGAGGCCAAAACCGTATTTTTCTTGTGCACTGTCTCTGGCGGGTCTGCCAGACAGTGAGAGTCCGAGCCGAGGGTCGATCCGTGCGGGGAGGGGGCCATAGTGGGCGTTCCGAAAAGGAACTCGCGAAGCCCCCTCCCCATAGCGGCTCTCGCCGAGGCGAGGTATTTCTCAGAGCTGGCATGTCCCGCACTGCCAGTTGCTTGCACTATGCGGTGGGCCCGTGGAGGTCAACAAATAGATTGAGCAATCTTCGGCTATCTTGAGCCGCCTTGGATACTACCTCGGTGCATCGGAGACCCTCTTGGAGTCATCTTGGGCAACAACAGAAACCCTCTGCCACCTCGTTCCCCCCGTCGCAGAAGTCTCGGGGCGGCCTCGGGGCGAGGGTTTTTGGAAGAGGAGAGAAAGAGGCTAGACCACCTTAGCCCAAATGGCTGGCTGGATTCTTGTGATCGCAATGGGGTCCCTGCAACCCAGCAGAGGCGTCGTGATCGGGCGAGTCGACGTACCAATTGGCCACAACGCCTTGCCTCTTGCGCATGTGTCAGATTTGGAGGGTTTATGAGCGAGGAGGCGAACAGCCGATACGATTCAGAAACCATACGCTTGAAACTGCTTCGACTGAGAAATGGTGGCGGAAGCATGCGAGCTAAGCAAGCCGGATACAACAACTGCGAATTATGAACCATTTCAGCCACCACCAATATAGTTTACAGATGCAAGTACATCTCTATATGTCTGTAGAATACAGGTCTATCCATATATACAGATGTGTGGATCTAATTTTGTGTGTCGAAGACGCCTACGGCGAATCAGACCCGCCCCCTGCCTTTTTGGAATCGCTCCTGTGGCCGAGCGTTGTGGCAAGAGTTCTGCCAAGCTATCGGACCATGTGTTCCCCCAACCGTTGTGGAAACCTTTCGGGGAACACTTGTGGGAGGATAGCGGGGAAGATGAGGAGGAGAAGGAGGAGGAGGAGGAGAAGGAGGAGGAGAAGGAGGAGGAGGAGAAGGAAGAAGCAGGAGGAGGAGGAGGAAAAAGGAGGAGGAGGAGGAGGAGGAGGAGGAGCAGAAGGGCGAGGAGGAGGAGGAGGAGGAGGAGGGGGCATCTTGGGAGCCTCTGGGGGCACTCCTTGGAGCCTCCTGGGAGCTTCGTGGGATCCTCTTGGAGGCAACTTGGGGGCCTCCTTGAGCCTCTTGGGGGCCTTTGGGAGCTTCTCGGGTGCCCCTTTGGCCGTCTTAGGGCATTCCTGAAACCGTCTCGGGGGCCTCTTTGGGCCGACTTGGGGCCCTCTTTGGGTGCTCCAGGGCCGTCTTAGAGGCCATCTTGAAAGGCTTGGCGGGCGCGTGGGCCGTCTTGGGGCCCTCGTGGGGCCGTCTTGAGGGCCTCTTGGGCCGTTCTGGGGCCCTTTTGAGGCCGCTCGGGGCGATCTTGAGGCGATCTTTGGGGGCTCTTGGGCCCTACCTGGCCGTCGGAAGGCCGAAAAGAAGCAGATGCCAAGATCTCTCAAAAACCTGAGGGACATGAATGAGTTTGGCCTCTCCAGGCCTTCCTGAAGGCCGTCTTGGAGACCTCACAGGGGGTCTCTTGGAGCCAGCTCATGCCTCTTGGGCGCCGTGTTGGGCCTCTTGGGGCGTCTTGGGGGCCTCTTGGGGGCCTCTTGGGGCCTCCTGGGGGTTCCCTTGCAGCGGGAAGCGCGAGATGTCGGTTCGGGCTGCCACTCTTGGCCCCACTTGGGGCCGTTTGGGACACCTCTCGGTGCCCTCTTGTGCCGTCTTGGGGCCCTCTTCGGGGCCTGTTGGGCCATATTGGGGCGATCTTGGGGGCTTCTTGGGCCGTCTTGAACGCCGTGAATCCGAAACCTTGTATGCTGAAACTGTACGCTGTCCTGCGTGATTTGGACGATGCTTGCCTCTTGGGGCCGTCTTGGGCGGCATCGTGGCCTCTCTTGGGGCGTCTTAGGCGTCTCGTCAGCTGTCTTCCGGCCATCTTGGGCGTCCTAGACCGATCGTTCGGCGTTTCGGGGCCCCCTTGGACCGTCTTGGGGGCCTCTTGGGGGGCCTTTTTGGCCGTCCGTCTTGGGGCCCTCTTGGGCCCGAAAAAGTTAGGCGACAACACCAGTGAGGCACGTGTTAGGCTTTGGGAGATTTGGCAATTTGGGGTCCGGTCCCTTGAAAGAACCCTCAGGAGTGAGGACTGGGGCTTCAGGGAATAGGCCAAGCTTCGTGCATCAGGGCACGGTTCCGGACATCGGCATTGTCGTTCAGAGCACAGCATAACATTGCATTGAGCAATTTGGTATTACCAGGGCCGCACATATCACAAAATTCGAGTCGACGACATGTCATAGCGAGCATTACATGACATGGCTCAGCGAAGCATTGCATCTGTTAGCATAACATTGCGCAGCATAGCATGACACAACTTGGTATTAGAGTTCAACTTGTAGACTGCCGAAGCAGCTCACAACATAGCATGGTGCATCAACGCATTACATCGCATGGTGCAGCACGGCGCGGAACAGCATGTTGGGAAGCGTTGCTGCGTTGCATATGTCCTGGTCAGCTCGGCGACTGCTGACCAGTTGACCAGTCGATGAGCGTGGGAGCGGAGGAGATACGCGGAGGAGGGAAGAGGAAATCGGGCATGGGGAGCACACTTTTTACGACCGTAGCTTTGCTTCCCAGGTGGTCCGCGCCAGAGCGACTCGAACCTAAGCGCTCGAGAAGCGCGCGCGGCTCTAGTGTATACGGTCGGACCGAGGTGTAAGATCGAGATCGGCTCGGGGAGGGTACCCTAAGGTTCTTAGTGTTTGTTGGATGCTCTTGTGCATCCTGGGATAGGGTACCCTGGAATGCTCTTCAGTTTTGCCGGCAGAGGGTCTGATGTTCGTGGAGGATGTTTTTCTGTCTTGGGTCCAGCTGTGCACTTGGACATGCTTTTATAACAGAAGCATGTCAACACAAAGCGTGCGCGGGCAGGCCGCACTGGCGGGCCCCTGGGCGGAGCCCGACGTCACGATCGCGTTCCAGCCCGGCATCTGGGGCTACGACAGCTGGGAGGGGCGGGGGAGCCCGCCCTCTCTTAGGGGGCGAATGACATATGCTTTTCCGCCGTCGGGGACGCCTGCCCCGTGGGCGGCTGGAAAGTTCATACCACCCTTCTCCTCCGCCCCCCCCCTGGCCTTAACGCCTTGGCGTTTCAGATCAGCATCCTTTCACCGAGCCCATCCCCATCCCTATCCCCATCCAGACCCCCACCATCTTAGCACACCAGTTGGGGACACACCGCTCAGAACCTGAAGGGCACAGCCCACGTCTCCATCTAGGAAGGTAAATCGGCCAGTGGGGCCCAGGCCACGCCCATGTGGATAGGAGTCGGTATAACGATGCTCATCAGATTGCAGTCGCATGCCGAGATGTCGGTCGATTTAGATGACATTGAACTGTTGCGGTCGGCGTTCTGGGATAACGCGCCGATTTCGTCCAGATCTGGCGCCCCAGAGGGGCCCCAAACCCTCAGGTTCTCCTGGTTCGCCTTATGTCACGAATTTCTGCCCGCGCGCATATACACCTGGGTCTGGGATATGTGTTCTTTCGTTCTTCGCCCCTGGGCTCTCCACCCACCTTCGGGTGTTCCTTTCGTTCTTGAGGTATCTCCATGGGGCCCAGGTCAGTCGACAAGACCACGCAAATGGAGACCACGAGCTGGCTCACCACCTCCAGCTGGAGGAAGAGGACGACTACCTGACCTGTCGGACTCCTCGTCGGGGTTGGCAGCTGCTTCGATGGTCAGGCATACTACGAGCAACGAGGTGGCGACCCACGTGGTAGATGGGCACGGCCTGGCTGACCAAGACGGTAAAGAACACGGACTCCCTCCCTGCGTTTTCAAGGGTCAGTTGGTCTCTGGAGGAGAAGGCTTGAACGAACCAGTAGGTTAAGATGGGCACAGAGGTGGCAGCTAAGGTGTAGAGACGGCCATGGTCGGCAATCGCGACAACTGCGACTCGGGCGCTATTCGGGCCTGATTAAGTGCAATGGGCGATCGGGGTGCTGAAGACCGCTACCCTGGGCTGCACAACTACATCGACCCAAGGGAGGCTGAACACGCCATCCACGACAGCACTGCGGCGGCGCTGGGTGCTTGCCGCAGCCGCGGCCAGTGGGGCGCCCGCTGAGAGAACCCGCGCCCCCCGTCTGAGTCGAGCGTCCCTCCTCTTTCTCCTCCTCCTCCTCCTCCTTGCTCCCCCCCTCCCCCAAGTGAAGAGGAAGCAGCAGCAGGCGGGGAGAGTGCGAGGGGAAGAGAGGGATGGTCCTCCATCATCCTCTTCGCATGGCAGCTCGGGACTGCCAACGCGGGGGAATTGTAGTACAACACCGCAGTGTTGCGCGGAATTTCCCCCCCTCCAGTGTTGGTGTGTTTTCGGCACGCCCCAAACAGGGGGAGGGAAACTGCTGTTCAAGACCACCGTGTTGTGCGGGTTTTCCGTGTTTGGGGGAGTGGGCTGCGGTTCGCACGTCATCTCACTCGCCGATCTTTCAGGTCTGAGTGCGCTACCGGGTAGATCCTATGGCAGTCACTGTCATTATTCCCCTTCTCAATCCTCTTATCCCCCTCCTCTAACTCCTCTCGCCTTCTCCTTTCCCCTCCTCCTCTCTCCTCCTTGTCCTCATCCTCCTCCTCCTCCTCGTCATCCTCCTCCTTCTCCTACTCTACCTCCTCATTCTCATCATCTCCCTCTTCCCCATACCCAGCCTCCTTCTGGACTGGCAGAAGGCAGGGGCAGGTCGACGGGGAGCGAGGAGGAGGAGGGTAAGGACCACAAAGCCAAGCCATAATCAACGGAAGTCATTCCAGAAAGTTATTATATGTGACGATGTGCGTGTGTTGTGGTAGCGACGCGGATGAGGATTTCGGTAACGATGCTAGTAATGAGTGTTTTTGTATGTGTATACGTTCGACAATCAAGTGATGATGTGTGCGTTTCAAATGGTTTCTGGAAGTTCACTACTTATGTAGCTCCCCCTCGGGGAAGGAGGGGAGCATTCGTTGGGAGTGAGATAGGGCCAGACACAGACAATTGAAGCACTTACAGTGTCTTAGCAAAGAGCTGCGCAATCAGATACCACCAACGGTCACCAACGAAAAACACAACGAGCTCAAGGCCTTTGGCATATTTTCCAACTGAAAATGCTTTTCGGATTTTCCAGTCGGGGCTTGACTTCGTTGATTGTTCCGTTGCGTCGCTCGGATGCCCATGTTTTGTGTTTGCTTGTGTTGTGTCGTTGATGCTTATGTTTCTGTTGGGTCCTAGCTCTCCTCTCCATCCGGGCTTCGTCTGCCAGGGGAGGGGTAACGCGGCCATTGTGAGTGATGAAGGGCCAGATATATGAACACCAAGTTGCAACATCAGCCCAACATCTGACGTCATGAAAGCGATAATTAACGGAATCGATACCCCGACAGGGTCTCAAAGGAGACATCTTGCAAAGCTTCATGTCCCGTTGGCCATTTTTCTGCAAAATCAGTCGGGGCTTTCATTTCGTTGATGTGTTCGCGGGGCCGCTCTGATTTCCATGGTTTGCGTAAGTTGATATGGGCGAGTTTCCTATTGAACTCCCACTTGTGAAAAAATAATAAATGTTGATTCCTCCTGGCCAGCGCATTGTTTTTTGAATCGGAGTACCCCCCCAGGGCCAGTACCTTCTTTTTCTCCGGGATAGTGTTCTTCCTCAAACTGCGTCCCTGAACACCAGACCTCGACAGCAACGATTCCCGCCTGATACTTCCTTGCAATTTATTTAAACGCGCACTGTCGTTCGAGACAAACTTACAACTTACTCACGAATCGAGCTCTCGCCGAGAACTTCCGTACAGTGTACTAGGCCTACGCGCTCTCGACGCGCGGGAATTCTACGCGCAGGGATCGCACTCTCGCGCGAGACGTCCTGGAAGTTTACCCAGGGTTCGTGCTCTCGCCTGCGCCTTTTCGCACCTTGTGAATCGCTTCAATGCCCCGCCCGACCGACGTCCGTTAGAGCCCGCCCGCCCAAGCGCCGGTTAGGGCACACACGCCCGGCCCGCCCGCACGTCCGCATGCTTGAAAGCCTCTCGCCTGCTTTATCGCTCGACCCTCCCGACCCGCCCCTTCGGGTCAGCCCGTCAGAGCTGCCAGTTGGTTATGGCCAGCCCGTCCTTCCCGCCCGTCACAGTCCGGTTGCCAAAATCATTGTTTCTCTCTGTTCCTTTTCCTGCCTTCCTTCCTTCCTTCCTCTTGCCCCCCTCCTTTTCTCGTCTCCTCCTCCTTTCCTCGCTCTCTCACTTCTCCCTTCTCCTCCTACTCCTCCTGTGGTAGGGGCCGCGCCAACTGCGCGTGGCAGGCAAGGAAGGTACGCACTCAAAGGGTCACGATTGAAGACGTCGAGGTCGAGTATCGAGGGCATGGGGTATACATGCTGAACGGCACGCGAGCAACGAAGACCGAACAGTTTTATCATGCTTGTTGTCGGCTGTTGTAAAGTGAGCACAAGAGTTGTTTACAGGAAGCGCTGGGGGGCAGAAAGAGTGACTGCTTGCGCGGCCCAAGATCGCCAGAGCCACGTCTCTCGGCATCTCGCGAGTCATAGCAGGGAGCTGAAGCTGACACGCCGCAGTTCCGTAGCCGCAGGGGAAGAATAATGCATATTTCGCTTCAGGGAACGCTGTTCCCCACCTGACTGAGGACCGGGGAGACCCAGCCTTTATAATCCCGGAGCTATCATTATCCATCCCTACTTGATTTTGTCTGTCTTTCTCGACTCAGGCGTGGGCCTTCCAGACAGGCCTCCACTCCTCAACCTGTTGCACTGCACAATAAGAAGCATCTTGCAAGGCCATCGCAAAGAAACATGCAACGATAACCAGCGACCAGTTGAAACATCGCGTATTCCGCCACAAAGAATCGAAATGTAAACCTGCCACAGACAGAGGGGAACATTTCGAAACCCGCCACAAAATTAACCGCGTCGTCAGGCCGCCACAAGCAAAAATGATCGAGTGTACCCCGCCAAAGGAGGAATCTCTTCTAACCTGTCGCAAAAGGAGTACATTGGTAGCTGCCACTTTGGGAAGTCAATGAATGAGACCGCCGCGATTGGACTCCTCATCTATTCCACAACAGAAGGACCCAGCTTGTAACCCGCAACAGAAGGAATCCACCACAGAAGGAATACATGCGCAACCGCCGCGCAAAGGAAGCAGTGGGGAACCTATAACGACATGCGTATATATTGTCTCTGCAGCAGAAATAATGTTGCAGCCTACCACACAAGGACTCAACTTGTAACCACGCCACATCAAAGGTTCAGTCTACAGTATGGTATGAAAGGGGTCGATTGGTAAGGCCGGGACAAAGGGAGCTCATGCACAACCCACCACGCAGCGACCCGATGTGTATGGTCCAATTGCCAATGTGTGCGTGTGTCTGCATGTGTGTGTGTCTGTGTGTGCGAAGCCCGCCACCTAAGAAATCAGCGTGTGACCCACCACCGATCGAAGCCTTCTGTAATGCCACCACCATAGGGACCTAGCGTAGCCTGACACACGAGGAACAACCTTGCAATGTGCAATCTACACAACAACATGTGCGATCCATGTTGGTTTCCTCTACCGGGTGTACTTGAAATGCTGCCACGACAAGACTCAATGTGTAACACACCACACATGAACTAGTCACCTTCTTGGGTCCACGACAAATACATTGCTGTGTAACCCCATGAAGCACGACATAAGTTTACACACTTCACCCGGACAAGGAGAGGTAGGCTTAGGACGAGAACGGGTAGGAATGCGAAGGAGGAGGGAGGAGAAGGAGGAGGAGGACGAGGAGGACGGAGGACGGCGAGAAAAGGCAGTTGGAGGAGGGGGAGGAACAAGAAAATCAACGAACAGGGCACCATTCAGGATATTGAGTCCAGTATCGATACAGATGGCAGGGGAGGATCATTGCGAAGGTGATGGATGGAGAACACCACAAAGCAAGGAGCAGAGCGGAGAAGGAAGCGCTTCAAGAGGGTCCGAGTTTTCAAACAGGACAGGTAGAAGGGTAGGCGGGCGGAGAGTAGAGGGAGAGGAGGAGGAGGAGGAGGAGCAGGAGGAGGACGGGTGTGGGCAGCAGGAGTATGAGGAGATGGAGGCGGAATGAGGAATGATGAGGGATACGATTGTAAGGCGGAAGAGGGAAGCGCGGAGGGGAGGCACAGAGCACAGCAGTAGTAATACCGCAGCATGGAGTGACCAGCCCACAGTTGTATTACATAAGTTGCCGTTAATTGTGCAGCGCGCAGTCCACAACGTAGTGTGGATCATGGGTTCTAGTGCGGTGCCCAACCCATGGCCCATAGCAAATGTACAGGAGAACCGCACCGGCAGAAGCAGCAGAAATAATCGCAGCAGCAGCGAGCAAGGTAAAGCCCCAATGCTTAGTGCATCGTAGTAGTTGTGATCAATATCGTATATCGTGCCATCTCATTCTAAACACAAGCAGTGATGTGAGCACTAGTTAGGAGCACAGTACTAGACAGGGCACATCATATGATATGTGTCCGCTGTGTACTAGCACAGTGCAGCAGTAGCGCCGTGGCTTCGGGAACACTCCAGCATTACAGTGGGACCAGAGCAGCAGCACAGCGGTAGTGTCATGACCACTCGAAGTGCGTAGTTCATTCAACAGTTGCCTTGACGAATTTTGCAGAATTCAGTCAGATTGCGAAGGTTTCACAGCAATCCTCTTTTTAGACAGGGCAGGAAGCAGATGCCGCTGTATATGAACATGCCTCTGGTCGACGGGGAGGAGGGTGACGGGGAGCGAGAAGGAGGACGAGGAGGAGAAGCAGGAGGAGGAGCATGCGGCGGAAAGGAAGAGTGGCATGGCAAAGGGAAAAGCAGGAGAGTGAGGAGGAGAGAGGAGGGCAGGAGGCGGCGGGGAGCGACCGCGCAGGGGATAAAGGGGAGGAGGAGGCGGGAGCAGGCGAGGAGGAGGAGCAGCAGGGGGAAGCGGCATGGAGGGAGGCAGGGGCAGGACGGAGGCGCCCCCCGCCACTGCTCCAGAGAGGAGGCGGGGGCGGAGCACGGCGAGGGGGGGGGATCGTCGGAGGAGCCGTCGGTGCGTCGCGCGCTGCTGGGGTTCGCGGCGCCCCTGGTCGTCACGAGCTACAACGAGGCCCCCGCCGCCGCCGCCAGACCTCCGCCGCCCCGCACCACGACGACGACCACGCCGGCGAGGGCGACGGCAATGGCGACGGCGGCGACAACAGCGGCGGCGATGACGATAGCGGCAAGGAGGATGATGAGGAGGAGGAGGAGGAGGACGGAAAAGGAGGATAAGGATGAGGAGGAGGAGGAGGAGGAGGAGGAGGAGGAGGAGGAGGTTGGATGGAGAGGGGGCGGAGGGAGGGGGAAGGGGGAATGAGGAAGGGGGAAACATTTCTCTGGCAGGTCTGGGCCATTCCCCCCGGGGTGGTCTTGGAGGTTGTAATTCTGGTGCGTTTCAAGGGGGCCATTCGGGGAAAGAGCGCGTTCTGTGGTCGCTTGGAGGAAGGGGGGGGGTTGGAACCGGGCCCCCCCCCCCCCCCCCTTGGATGGAGGGGGGGTGTTGGACCCCCCCCCGGTCCCCGTGACGGAGGGGGGGGGGGTTCGAACACCCCCCCGCTCCCCTACTTCTCCTCTCTTCCTCTCCTCGGCTGGCGGCGGCGGCGGCGGGGACGACGATTTCCTTTTCTGGGCCGGCGCCGGCGCCTGCGGCGGCGGGCGGGCGGCGGCGGGGAGCGTCGACGAGGATAGTAGTGGTGGTGGTGGTGATGGTGGTGGTGGGTCGTGGTGGTGGTGGTGGTGGTGGCGGTGGTGGTGGTGGCGGTGGTGATGGTTGTGGTGGTGGTGATGTGGTGGTTTGTTGTTGTGGTGGTGGTGGTGGTAGTGGTGGTTGTGGGTGGTGGTGGTGGTGGTGGGTGGTGGTGGTTTGTGGTGGTGGTGTGTGGTGGTGGTGGTGGTGGTGGTGGTGGTGGTGTTGTGGTGGTTGTGGTGGGGGTGGTGGCGGTGGTGGTGTGGTGGTGGGTGGCGGTGGTTTGTGGTGATGTGGTGGTGGTGGTGTGGTGGTGGTTTGTAGTGGTGGTGGTGGGTGGTGGTGGTTGATTGTGGTGGTGGCGGTGGTTTGTGGAGGTGGTGGTGTGGTGGTGGTGTTGGTGGTGGTGGTGGTGGTGGTGGTAGGTTGTGCTACTAGTAGTTGTGGTGGTTGTGGCGGTGGTGGTAGTGGCGTGACAAATTGTGGTGGTGATAATGCTGATAGTGGTAACGTTTTTTTGGTTGTGGCGGTGGTGATGGTGAGTTGTGGTGGTGGTGGTGGTGATCGTGGTGGTGGTGGTGGTGGTGGCTGTGGTGGTGATGGTGGTGATTGTGTGGTGGGTTGGTGGTGGTGGTGGTGGGTTGAGGCGGTGATGGTAGTGGTAGTGGTGGTGGTGGTGGTGGTGGGTGGTGGTGGTGGTGGTGGTGGTGGTGGTGGTGGTGGTGGTGGTTACCGTCGCTCCGCCGTCGCCAGCGCCAGCGTCGGCGCTGCTGGCCGCCGCCAGCGCCGGCGCCGGCGCCAGGGGGGGGGGGTTGAACCCCCCCCCCTCGGCGCCAGACGGGGGGGGGGGTGTTTGAACCCCCCCCCTCTTGGGCTGCCTCTGGTCATCGTCGCTGCGTCCCCACCGTCGGCGCTGCTGGCGGCCGCCGGCGCCGGCGCTGGGGGGGTTCAAACCTCCCCTCCCCCCGGGAGGGGGGGAGGAGGGTTCGGGAGGGGTGGGGGGGTTGGGGGGGAGGGGAGTCCCCCTGGTTTTGATCGACAGCGCCGAGTGTTGGGCCGGTTCGAAACGCGCCGCCGAATGTTCCCAAGGCAAGCGCCCGCGAAACGCGTTCTCTCCATTCGGGGTATCCCGATGATCCGATGCGTCCCGTTGCTTACATGGCGTTTGTATCCTGGCGCGGCCGACTCGAATAAGATCCGTCTGCGTGCCGATACATCCCGTTTCGTTGAATCTTCCGATCCGATCCGACGTACGTGTTCGATGCTGACCGCTTCTAGGGGCTCTCATGTGGGATCGCCTTGAGGGATTGCCCAATCCTTCTGTGAGTTGGGTCCTCGTTTGGAATCCGCAGCGCCACGCGTCTCCTGCTTCCCTCCTGTTCCTCCTCCCCCTCCTTCCTCCTCCCCCTCCTCCTCCTCCTCCTCGTCCTCCTCCTTTTCTTCCTGCTACTCCTACTCCTCCTCCGCTTTGCTCTGCCTCCCACATGTCGGTTTCGGCACACCCCTCACACGCTTCGTGCACCTATGGGGAGTTCCACCGAAGGTCCCAGTGGCAGTGCCCGCGCGGTTATCCGCCGCATTTCGGCGCACCCATCACGTTTCGTGACCCCCTAGGGAGCTCCGCTGGAGGCCCAGTGACAGGATCCGCATGGTTACCCACCGCATTTCGGCACACCGCTTAGACGTTTCTTGGCTCCAAGGGGAGCTCTGCCGAAAGCCTAAGTGGCAGGGTCCGCATGGTTACCTGCCGGATTTCGGCGCACCCCTTTCACGCTTCGTGGTCCCATATGGAGCTTCTCCGAATGCCCCAGTGGCAAGGTCCGCAGGGTTGCCCACCCCATTTTGGCGCACCCCTCAGACGTTTAGTGGCCTCATAGGGATCTTCGCCGCAGGCGCCAATGTCGGGGTCTATATGGCTACCCGCCGCATGCTGGTGCACCCCTCACACATTTCCTGGCCCCAACGGGAGCTCCACCGACGGCCGCAGGGTCTGCATGGCGCCTCGGATGCATGGGTGCCCACCCCTCAAATGTTTCGCGGCCCCACAGGAAGCTCCACCGAAGGCCCAAGTGGAGGGTTCGCATGGCGTCTCAGGCCCATGTCGGACCATCCCTGAGATTGCTTAGTGGCCCCATGCGGAGCTCCACCGAATGCTCCAGTGGCAGGGTTCGCATGGCGCCTCCAGTGCATTTCGGCGCACCCGTTGTTTGGCAAAGCTTTCAGGGGTACTCTGGACCCCCCAACGAGTTCTTGTGGTTTAAGCTGTCCTGTTGATAGCTTCCACGCGTTTATTCAGGGTTGGGTTCTTCGCCAGGGTCATTTTCGTCGTTGAGGGCGGGGGGGTGTCCAGCAGACACACGGGCATCATCCTGGAAGCGCCCAGGGGAATGCGGGCAATTCCTGCAAATTTGAGGTTTGGGCTCCGTCTTCGGTTGGTCGTGAATTTGAATTCCACCAAATTGTATGATCTTGAGCCTCTTGTGTAATCTTGGAGGCAATGTTGGGCTATCTGGAGCCATCTTGGACGCTCTAACCACCGCGACTCCTGCCGTTCAGTCTCAGTGGAGTGGGGGTAGTAGGTAGTGGGAGGAATAAATTCCTTCCCGAAGGGGAAAAAGGGGGTTCGAAGAAGGAACTGTTTAAACCAACTTCGCCCAGAGGCCTGGTAGAACGTCTTCAGCGGGCTGAGACCCAGTCTGCTTGGTCCACCTTCCTAGGCTCGGTTGTCCATAATCTTTTTTTCCGAACAGCTTTTGGCCTTGAAGAGCTCTGGCGGACCCATCTTCCCTTGGATGCCTGTCGCATTCTGCGACGTGTTACGGCATCATGCTGCAGATTAATGTTCGTCGCGTGGGGCCCACCGTCCTCGGTCCTACAGAAGTTGCAGTGGGTCATCCGCGGGCCACGGGGAAATTTCCCGACTCTCCTCGCGCGTCGAGGCAGCTTGTCCAGTGAGGGAGTTGCGTGGCCACTGGGGCACACTGCAATCTTGTGGCGCCTGTGGTGTGCCATCGCATTGCGCACGTGGTCTGACAGTCGCACGTCGCCAGATGGTGTTATCGGGCAGATTGTAGGTGTGCGCAGCCGTGGTGGCTCAAGTCCACTGCCTGTTGCTCGGGGCCTAGACCCTTGCAAGCGACTTTTCAGTGGAAGGCCCAGAGCCATGGCAGGAGTGTGTTGGTGAGCCTCTGCCATACAAAGGGCGGACAACTGCTAGGCTTTTCGATGGCTCGGCCGTGTTATCCTGAAGCCGCCGTCCCCAGTGCCCAAGCGATGGACGCAGGTGCTGTTGGATGGCTTGGAGAGGACCCCCTGGCGGTGGCGCTGCAGCCGCAGCGCGGCTGGCAGCGCCGCGACTGCGCCTGGACTTGCTCGGCAGCAAGGCCCACTGCCTCGCGTGGCTCGGTGACCCTTCGGCAGATCCAGCGAGGGTCGCCGAGGCCATCTCCGCCTTGAGGCGCCGCCGCCTCCTCACGGAGGAGAAGGAGTACGCGCGCGCGGTGCAGGCTGCTGCCTCCTCCTCGCTGTGGCGGCTGGCAGCGGCCCTGCTTGCGGAGCTGCGCACCCGTCTGCCGGGCGCCTCCACGCGCCACGCCCTGTCGGCCCACAATGCCGCCATCGCCGCCTTCGCCACGCGGCACCGGTGGCCAGAGGCCGCACGGCTGCTCGACAGCCTGCACCAGCAGGGCCCCCAGCCCGACGCGGTCACCTACAACGCGACCATGACGGCGTGCGAGAGAGGGCAGCAGTGGGAGAGAGCTTTCGAGGCGTTCCGCCAGATGCGGGGGCGGCGCCTCGGGCCTACTGCTGCAACGCTGGGGACCGTGGTCAACGCCTGCCGCTGGGGCCAGCAGTGGGAGCAGGCGGTCCGGTTGCTTCAGGCCGCGCAGGCGCTCGCCCTGGCAGCCAGTGCCGTTGTCTTCAACGCGGCAACCAGCGCGTGCGGGCAGGGCCAGCAGTGGGAGTGGGCGCTCACCGTCGCGGGCGCGATGGCGATGTGCCGTCTGCCTGCTGATGTGGTGGGCCGCACGGCCGCCATCGAGGCGTGCCAGCGGAGCCTCCACTGGATGGGGGCGCTGGAGGTCCTGAGGCCGTGGGCGGCCCGCACACAGCCAAGGCGCTGAGATAAGGACCACCTTGGACTCAAGAGGGGCTCTGGTTTTCGGGCCGCCCCTTGGACTCAACAAGAACGCTGAAGTGAGGACCACCTTGGGCTCAAGACGCTGCACCTTGGGCTCAAAAGGGGCGCTGAAGCAAGGGCCACCTTGTGCTCGAGAGGGTTCACAGAACCCCCATCCTGCCAAGTCGATGAGCGGATCGTTTTTGTTGTTTGCTTTTGTCTTGGGGAGGGCGTTGTGGCCGCAATGTTTGTGGGCCTGCGCCAGTCAGATTTGGCCCTGGGTCGTTTTCATTAAAGGGTGTTTTGTTAATTAGGCTTCGGGTTGTGCACAGACAGCCCCCCCAGAGTCCCCGCTGGCCTCAACAGTCCCCCCGAGTAGCTTGCGGCGGTCTGAACGCCCCAACCTTGCGGCGCGGATCGCTCCAGGGGCGCAGCCACAGGCAGCGCTTTGATGTTGAGACCGCCCCGGTCTACTCGGGGGGCATGCTGAGGTCAGCCGGGACTACCTCGGGGGGCTGTCTGTCCGCAACCCGAAGCCTTACCAGCCTCGAGATCCGACGCCGCGAACAAGTTGCAACATTGCGGAAGATCACGATTGGAGCCCTAGAACCTCAGAGCCCATCATTCTGGCGCATGTTTCGGGCCAGTTCGATCTGTGAGGGTCCCGGGGCCCGAAGCATGGCGAAGTCGCCCGTCACGAAAATTGCAACGCCAGAATCTCGTTGACGTCCGCCGCCCCTGCTCAGGGCCATGCGCGCCAGCTCGGTCGAGCCCGACGTGGTGACCTGCTGCGCCGTGGCCGCCGCGTGCGACGGCCCGCCTCTTCGGCGCCCCCCAGGGGGTGGCGCGAGGGGGGGCGGCCTTTGAGAAGGCGAGGGTCTTCTCAGAAGGCCCTGGAGGATTCCGAGCAGGCGTCTGGGAAGCCGGGCTTGGAAGCCCCGCCGCCTCGGAAGCTTAACCCCGCGGCGCGCCATTCCCTTTCCCAGACCCCCGACGTTTCACTACGGGGACTCCCATGACACCCATGCAGAGGTCTGGACCCCTTCCCGAGGACTGGTTTTCATCCAGAGTCGTGTTTTGACGGTCCGGAGGCCTGGTGAGGGCCCTTGGAGGCCGAAAAGTACAAAACATCGTGCGTCGTGTTTTTTCACGACGGGAAGGGGCCTAGCGAGCAGGAGAAGGAGAAGGAGGAGGAGGAGAAGGAGGCGAAGGAGGAGGAGGAGGAGGACGAGGAGGAGGACGAGGAGGAGGAGGAGGAGGAGGAGGAGGAAGAGCATGAGGAGGAGGAGGAGGAGGAGGAGGAGGAGGAGGAGGAGGAGGAGGGGCAGGAGGAGGAGGATGAGGAGAAGAAGGGGAAGGAGGAGGGGAGGAGCAGGAGGAGGAGCAGCAGGAGGAGAAGGAGGAGGACCAGGAGGAGGAGGGGAGCAGGAGCAAGAGGATGAGGAGGGGAGCAGGAGGAGGAGCAGGAGGGGAGCAGGATAATCAGGATCATTTGGAGGAGGAACAGTCATGTCCTGCTCTTAGTGCTTATCTCTGGTTGTCGGCGCCCATGGCCAAGCTTGACGTTTTCTTCTCCTCTCCTCCTCCTTTGCTTTCTCCCCCTCCTACGTTTACGTGGTCATTCACGGAGCTTGGGCTCTGCTCTGAAATGTATGTAGTTCCACGGTCGCGCGCTAAGGCTCGCCTATTGCAGGTTGGCCCGTACGCTGCGCTTGTGTTTTGAAGCTCCCTTTCCGCTTCCTTCTCCCTCCTCCTTCCTCCGCCCTCTCTGCTCTCATATGCGGCACGATTTCGGCCACGTTCGAAGGACAGGCCTGCTGCCGGGCCGTAGCTTTGGTCCGTGTTGGTTCCGCTTGTGCCGAACACATGTTTGTTTTGAAGAGTCGTAAAAGTGAAAGAAAGGATCAGGTGGAGGAGGAGGAGGAGGAGGAGGAGAACAAGTGTAAAACCAAAAGTCATCAGCGATGTTGGAATGTACCCACCCTCCAAGCTCCCTCTTCATAGGACCCTACAAGGGTTCATTTCCACTGAGGGAACTGCCCCGTTGGAAGACAAACGTTTGAAGACCCTGATGCACGCCAAAATATCGTTCTCGGGATTCCAGCGCCACGGATCGACCTGACTGCTGCGTCTTGGCGACCCAGAGTCGCGCCAGAACGCCATTCTTGGGACTTCAATACCGCGAATCAACATAACTGTTGCGCCCCCATAATCCTGAATCATTCCAAAATACCATCTCTGGTACGCTGATCATGGGAATCCGTGGAACTCTTGCAACATGTATGATACAGGAGAAAAGCCCCAATCAGATGTTCGTTGAGGCTATGGGGCTATAGGACTATAGGGCTATTGGGATATTGGGCTATAGGGCTATAGGCTATAGGACTATATCTATAGGGCTATCGGGCTAAAGGGCTGTAAGGCTATAGGACTGAAGGGCTATAGGGCTATAGGGCTATCGGGCCCCCGGGCACCCACGGGCACCCGGGCACCCGGGCACCCGGCCACCGGCCAGCACCCACGGGCACCCGGGCACCCGGGCACCCGGCCACCAGCCACCGAAATTTTGGGGCACCGGGCACCCACGGGCACCCGGCCACCCGGCCACCAGCCACCAAATCGGCACCCCAATCATAATAATGATACCGGAGAAAAAACCCTATCGCAATCTTTTTAGGGCTGTAGGGCCACAGGGGTATATGGGCTATAGGGCTATTGGGCTATAGGGTAATAGAGCTACAGGGCTATAGGGCTATGGGGCTATAGGGTATAGGGGTATAGGGCTATAGAGCTAGAGGGCTATACGGCTGTAGGGCCATAGGGCCATAGGGCTATAGGGCTATAGGGTTATAGAGCTATAGAGCTGCAGGGCTATAGGGCTATTGGGGCTATAGGGTTATAGGGCAACAGCGCTATAGGGCTACAGGGCTAGGGCTATCAGGCTATAGGACTGTAGCGGTGTAGGGCTATAGGGCTATAGGGCTACAGGGCTATAGGGCTATAGGGCTATCAGCTATGAGGCTACAAGGCTACGGGGCATTGACCTATAGGGCTATTCGGCTATAGGGCTCTAGGACTATGGAGCTGTATATGGGCTATAGAACTATTGGGCTATACGTCACCCAGGCACCCGGGCACCCCCGGACACCCCCGGGCACCTCTGGGCACCCCTGGGCACCGGGTGCCCAGGCACCCGGGCACCCGGGCACCCCCGGGCACCCAGGCCCGGCCACCGAAATCGGGCACCCGGGCACCCCCGGGCACTCCTGGGCACCCGGGCTTCCCGGGCACCCGGGCCCGGCCACCGAAATCGGGCACCCTGGCACCCCCGGGCACCCCCGAGCACCCCCGGGCACCCGGCCGCCGGCCACCAAATCGGCGCCGCACCTCACCTAACCATATGAATCCGCTAGGACCCCTACAGAGGCAAGCCCTGATTGGGTATTCTTTTGAGGGCTGTAGGGCCACATGGCTATATGGGCTATAGGGCTATTGGTCTATAGGGTAATAGAGCTACAGGGCTAATTATAGGGTATAGGGCTATAGAGCTATAGGGCTATACGGCTGTAGGGCCATAGGACCATAGGGCTATAGGGCTATAGGGCTATAGAGCTGCAGGGCTATAGGGCTATTGGGGCTATAGGGCAATAGGGCAACAGCGCCATAAGGCTACAGGGCTAGGGCTATCAGGCTATAGCGGTGTAGGGCTATAGGGCTATGGGATAGGGTTATAAGCTATAAGGCTACAAGGCTACGGGGCACTGGCCTATAGGGCTGTTCGGCTATAGGGCTCTAGGACTATGGAGCTATGCTATAGAACTATTGGGCTATACGTCACCCGGGCACCCCCGGACACCCCCGGGCACCTCTGGGCACCCCTGGGCACCCGGTGCCCAGGCACCCGGGCACCCGGGCACCCCCGGGCACCCAGGCCCGGCCACCGAAATCGGCCGGGCACCCCCGGGCACCGGGGCACCCGGGCCCAGCCACCGAAATCGGGCACCCGCGGGCACCCCCGGGCACCCCTGGGCACCCCCGGGCACCCTGCCGCCGGCCACAAAATCGGCGCCGCACCTCACCTAACCATATGAATCCGCTAGGGCCCCTACAGTGGCAAGCTCTGATTGGGGAATGAATCCGCTAGGACCCCTACAGAGGCAAGATTGGGGAATAAATGAATGTGCGCGGTGCTAAGGCGAGGGCCACATGTTGAAAAGGAATCGCCCTCAATCCGTGAAGCCCTTGCAAATGTTTGAAACGAGTGAACGCGGCGCTAAGGCGAGAGCCGCAGCCCTCAATCCGTGAAGTTCGTGCAATTGTTTTGAAACGAATGTGCGCGGCGCCAAGGCGAGAGACACATTTTGAACAAGAATCACCCGCAATCCGTGAAGCTCTTGCAATTGTTTAAACGAATGTGCGCGGCGCTGAGGCGAGAGCCAAATTTTAAACACCACACCGTCAATCTGTGGAGCTTTTGCATATTTAACGAATGCGTGCGGCGCTAAGGCGAGAGCAAACTTTTAGAAACAACCCGCCCTCCATGTGTGAAACCGCTGTCGATGTTTAAGCTGCAAGGTCATACATTGTGAGGAAGTCTCAGGCGCAACGCCCGGACCGTCCTAAAAACTGGCCTCGGGGTGCGACAGGGGGAAAATCTTTGTAAGGAAAAGGAAAGGAGGAGGAAGAGGAGGAGGAGGAGGAGGAGGAGCAGGAGGAGGAGGAGGAGGAGGAGGAGGAGGAGGAGGAGGAGGAGTGAGGAAGAGGAGGAGGAGGAGGAGGAGGAGGAGGAGGAGGAGGAGGAGGAGGAGGAGGAGGAAGAGGAGGAGGAGGGAGGGGGAGGGAGGGAGGGAGGGAGGAGGAGGAGGAGGAGGACGAGGAGGAGGAGGAATAGGCAGGAGGGCAGGAGGAGGAGGAGGAGGAGGAGGAGGAGGAGGAGGAGGAGGAGGAGGTGGCGCACGAGGAGGAGGAGGCTCGCCAAGGCTCGCTGCACCGCGCCCCCGCCTGGAGCACGGCGCGCTTGATGCGCGCGTGCGCAGCCGCCCTGTGCAGGCCGCCCCAGGGCCAGGCGGAACCGAGGGCCGCGGAGCCGGGCCTCGCCCTCGCTGCGCTCGAGGTGCTCTTCAAGGAGCTGGGCCTCCCGGGTGGGGTCTGACGGGCCTGTTTGCCACCAGCACCATAAGTGGGAGGGTGAGGGGGCCCACCTCCTCCTCGTCCTCCTGCTCCTCCTCCTCCTCTTCGTCCTCCTCCTCCTCCTCCTCCTCGTCCTCCTCCTCCTTCCCTCCTCCAACTTATGGTGGTGGTGGTGGAAAACAGGCCCATCAGGGTCCGAGCGTCAGAGGAGGAACAGGTACCCATAATTACCGCTACCCTTTTCCCGTGTTCTCCTTTTTGGGGCTTCCTCGGAGGCCCTCGTCGCCACCGCTGGATTCGCCTCGGAATCCTGGCGAGAACGCACCCCAGGAGAGGTCTGGGGAGTAGCGGCATTGATACCTTTCAGTGTCCGCAGAGCGATGCAATCTTTCTCACGCTGGGCGTTTTCTGGTTTTGGGGCCCCGGGACCGCGGAATCGATCCGGCCTGAAAAGTGCCGCATGGAGATGGGGTTTGTAGTCTCGGGTCGTGATGCTCAGGTTGCAGCTCGTTTTGCGACGTCGGATCTCGGGGTGGGCAGCCTTGGCCCCGGCTCTCTGGCCCAAGGTCGGGCCAGAGAATCCAGGCCTCCCAGGGTCCGAGCAGATGAGGCCGGAGGATTTTGCCGCATCGCCGATGCATCGCCGATGCGGCTCAATGTGGAGCCCCAGTTTCTCCACACCGACGGCGCCGATGCATCGCCGACGCACCCGATGCATCGCCGTTGCATCGGCGATGTGAAGTATCGCCGATGCATCGGCGATACGGCGTGGTCTTCCGACTGCATCTACTCTACTCGGACCGCATCTGGGAGGCCTCTACAGGAGCTTGGCGACGCCAGCTGTCAAGCAGTGGCGAAGCATCCTGACTTTTCCCATCGGCCCACCGAAGGATATTCCCAGAACCCTCTGCGGTTTGCATGGCGTGTTCTTAGAACACGCTTGGCTGAAACACTACAGGTTTCGACTTATCGGTTTATTGTTATGAGAGCTCTGTTTGTTTGTGATTGCTTGGTTATCGGAGAATTTAGTGGTGGGCGTATAGACATGCCAGGACGGTCGGTCCCTGCTCGAAGCCGCAGATCTCCGATATGATCCCAGCTTCTGGGGCAAGCTCTCGGGCTCCGCGACCGTCAAGCATGGCTCTGGGGCTCCGGGGCGAAACACTAACCGCAAGAAAGGAGTCGGGAGCTCTTTGGGCCGCGCATCAACAGTGTTCACATGAGGCGCTCCATAAAGAGCCTCGCCTTCAAAGAGCAAAGGCATTGCCACCTCTTCCGTGGCGGAAGGCGGCGGAAGGCCGGCGGAGGTCGGCAGAAGCAGAACGAGGCCGCCACCGCCGGCAGGGAAGCAGAACAACATGTGTCCCCAAGAGATGACATCAGGCTTCCTGTTTATGCTCAGGGCGTCCGGCCGATTGCCATCTCGCCGGGTGCCTGGCGCGCGGCCTGCGTCGCCCGGAGGAGGGCGCCGTGGGCCCCGCGCTCTGGCGCGCCGTCGCGCGGCGCGTCGCGGCCCCGGCGCTGCGCAGCCTGCGCGGCACGGCGGCCGAGGGCGCCGCGGGGGGCCCGGGCGCGACGACGCGGGCGGCGCGGGCGCGGCGAGAGGCGGGCGCCGAGGATCAAAGAATGATCAGGGGCGGCTTAACCGACCCCTGGCAAGCCATCCCCTTCCGCGACGTCCCCCTCGCCTCGCCCCAAGACGTACGTATGCGGCCGGAGGGGAGCTGGAAAGGCGAGGGTGATGTCACGGGAGGGGATGGTTTGCCAGGGGTCGGTCATGCCGCGCCCGAAATGGCAAAGACATGAAGCTGTTGAACTGCGCGCGGATCTCTTGGATCGGCGCTGGATGGGAGCTGGCGGCGCCTCCTGCGCCGCCCCTGACGCGCTGCCGCGCGCCGGGGAACGGAGGCTCCAGCGCCGATCCGAGAACTCCGCGCGGAGCTCCAAGAGATTCTGTCTGTGCAGCGTGCCGCTCCTCGAGGGCCTGGCGGGCCTGGCGAGCCTGGGCAGCCTCGCCACCGTGGGCGCCATGGAGGATCAGCGGCGCGCGGCCGATGGGGGGGGGGTCGGCGCGAGGGGAGGAGCCCAGTCACCCGGCGCCTCGGCAGAAGCGGGGCGGCCGGCTTGCCGCCGCATGCTGGGGCATGATAAAGGTGTTCTGGCACGATTCAGGATCTTCAAGCAGCTGTTTCCAAACGGGGCAGTCCCCTCAGTGGAAATGAGTTCGTCTAGGGGCCTATGTAGAGGGAGCTTGGAGGGAGTGTATCTTCCAACATCGTTGATGAGGCGTGGGTTTGCACTGGTCCTCCTCTTCCTCCTCCCCTCCACCTAGCCCCCTCCTCCTCCTCCTCCTCCTCCTCCTCCTCCTCCTCCTTCTTTTCCCCCTCATCCTTCTCATCATCATCATCATCACCACCATCATCATCATCATCATCATCATCATCATCATCATCATCATCATCATCAGCATCATCATCATCACCATCATCATCATCATCATCACCATCATCACCATCATCATCATCCTCATCATCATCATCATCATCATCATCATCATCATCATCATCATCATCATCATCATCATCATCATCATCATCATCATCATCATCATCATCATCATCATCATCATCATCATCATCATCATCATCATCATCATCATCATCATCATCATCATCATCATCATCATCATCATCATCATCATCATCATCATCATCATCATCATCATCATCATCATCATCATCATCATCATCTCTCCTGTTCGCGATGTTGCTCGAAGGAGGAGAAGGTATTTTCCCATATCGCTACCCTTCCCTCGTTTTCCGCGTTTCGGGCCTCCCGGGAGGCCCTCGTCGCCACCGCTGGATTCGCTTCGGAATCTTGGTCATATAGCACCCCGGGAAATGTCTGGGGAGCAGCGGCATCGGTACCTTTTCGTTTCCCCAGAGTTTGGGACTGCCACTGCGCGACATGGTCCTCGACCCCCGACGTCGTGACTTGTCTGCAGGCGTGGGCCCCCTGAGGTCGGGACCCGGGGCCAGTTTCTCAGCCAACGCCGCTCTTCGACGGCCCAGGGGTCAGGCGCCGGCCCCAGGAGGCCAAGGGCAGCAAGCAGCCTTCGACGTCGTGATATTTCTTACCGGGCGAGCCTGCCTGGGGTTGAGATTCTTCTCCGCGTTGCGCTTTTTATTCGTGGCGTCGGGGCGCCGCCTGAGGAGCTGCGCCTGGCCGGCGACGGCGAGGCCCGCGGCGCTGCGCGGCGGCACTGCCCCCGCGGCGGCGGGCGGGGCGGCCTCAAGCCGGCGGGGCAAAACAGCGCGACGCGGCAGCATCGCCGTTCGAACGTCGAGATTCCAAGAGATCGTGGGGGGCAGAGTCTACCCGTTTGTAGAAGACCAGTGTCTCGGGCTTGTTTCTTCTCCGTCCTCCCCCTCTCGGTCCCGCTGCTTCCCCCCCGTCCCCCTTCCTCCAAACATCTTTGTCCCCTCCCCTCGGCCCCCCGTCTTTCACACCTATCTCTTGTTCCCCCAGACCACCGACATCGTGATTTGTTCTCAACGTGAACTCCAGAGGTCTGGACCCTTTTCCCGGGACAGGCTTTCAACAGAGCGTTGCGGTCGCGCTTCCTCCTCCTCATCCCGCCTCCCTCTCCTCTCTCCCACTTCGACCTGTCTGCGGCCTCAGGGTTCTTGACGGCCCAAGGGCCCTTTGAGGGCCCCCAGAGGCCGAAACGTTGCAAAACATAGAGCTGCTTTTCCACAGCGAGAGCGTTTAAGCCTCTCCACATCCGTACCTTCCTCAACTAGGGCACAGCAGTGCTTAATTGCCACCCTGGTTCCGCACCAGGCGGGGCCACCGCCGACAGGCGATGTCTGTCAGCGTGTTTGTCCACCCCTTGTCCACCACAGTCTCCTCCCCCGATTCTCTCAATTTCCCGACTTCACGCTACCATCTCTCGTCATCTCTCCCATTCTGCATGTTCCATTCCCCCTTCTTCCAAACAGCCACCACCGCCATAGTCATCGCTCCACCTCCGCAGCCATTTTGGCTCAGGACCGTTGGCTCAGGCTTGAAGTGCTTCCTGTTGTTGTGTCAACGCTGGCGTTCTGCCACTCCCCGCCACATTAAGAACCAGAGGCGACGATGGGGGGAATAGCCTCAGGGGGAGCAGTACATGTATCTAGTGGCGCCCAGAATACGTGCCCTCGGAGAGGCTCCCTGGCGAATACGTGCAATGCCCGCCCCTTGGCTGTTCGCCCTCCCCCGGTGCCGAGAATTGTTTATGACATGGACCCTCAGAGGTCCGGACCACTTCCCAGGGACCTGCCTTCCATCGTGACTCGCTTTTGACGGCCCCGAGGCACCGTAAGGGCCACAGAGGCCAAAAACAGCGAACACAAAGCTTGTCCTGTTTTTTTTCGGCGCGAGCCTGGCGAGAGGAGGAGGAGGAGGAGGAGGAGAAGGAGGAGGAGGAGGAGGAGAAGGAGGAGGAGGAGGAGGAGGAGGAGGAGGAGGCGGAGGAGGAGGAGGAGGAGGAGGAGGAGGAGGAGAAGGGTTCTCTCCTGTCGTCGCCCCCGAGGGGAGCAGCGGCACCGATGGCGCGCTCTGGCGGCAGGGTCCTGCCGTCGGCAGTCGCCGCGCTCGCGCTCGCTGGCATCTGCTGGCTTCCTGGCTGCTTCGTGCCGGCGGTGGATCGACGGGCCGTCATCGCTGCTGCAGCCGCCGCCTCCATTCGGGTGTTGCTAGAAGTGCCCCTGGCCCTAGGTGCCCCCAGGATTTGCGGGGTGGCCCACGCTGCCTCCAGGGCACACCTCACTATGCCCAGAGGGCCCCAGGTGCTCAAAACTGAAGCGAAAAGCTGGGGGCACCTTGGGCCAGGGGCACTTCTAGCAACACCCGATCCATTGCTGGACAGCAGAAGGATCGGGGCTGGACGGAACCCCCAACAGTGACACGTCGATTCGTGAATTGTCCGTTTTCGGCTCTCGAGAGGGCGCCGTGGCCGTCAGTTTCCAGGCCTGCGCCCGCCGGGTTTGGGCCCGAGGTCGTTTTCACTAAACCACGTTTTGCTAAAGGGGGTTCTGTCCATCCCCGAAAGGAGGCGCATGCTGCGCAGGCGAGGTTCTCCGTGTTTGGTTTCGACGGGAGCGGGAAGGGCGCCGTGTCGGACGCCTACCAGCAAATCGACCCTGACGCGATCTCGCCCTACTCGCAGTTCAGCAATCCCAAGGATTCTGAGTACACGAACAACAAGGCCCTGCAGGAGAAGCTCTACGAGAGGAACAAGGCCAGGGTGATCGAGTACGTGTCGATGCTCGATAAGGTCCCAGATTTGATTCAGAAGAAGCAGTCCGAGAATCTCAAGAGCCTGCTGACCACCAAGCTCTACAGTCTCCGCGAAAGCATGGAGTACGTGACCACCAAGGGTACGCCGTTCTACCGCAAGAATGACGCAGCAGGCATGAAGGAGGCCGACATCTTCTTCCAGGATCTGGCTGACCTCGGCGTGGCGGGCCGGGAGAGGAACTGGGGCTGGGCGACCGAATCGTACGATAAGTCCAAGAGCAGCTTCAAGGCGTGGATGGACGTGGTGGGGCTCTGAGCTGCCAGGGCATGCTTCCAGGTGTCAGCTGCCCCCCGAGTCAGCTATAATGTCAGCTAATGTCAGCTTGACATGGCCAGCTCGGAAAGGACACAGGCAGCTCGGTCGATGCATTCTTCAACGAGGATCTAAGCAGCACGCCGCGGGGACGGCACGGTAGGTCCATCCGGCGGTGGCGCGCCAGCGACGCCAGCGAAGGCTTTCAAGGCTGAATTCTGCGACGCGGAAGCACCGAGGGACAGTTTCGAACGATTTGGGCCGCGATCGATTCAAGGTTGACCGATCGACGCGGTGTCAAAAACTTTGCGTGCGCCGACGCCGCACGAATCGACCGTAATGTACCGTCCATTGCTTCCGAGCGCGCTAGATGCACCAGATAGGCTGCGGGAGTATGTTTTTGAAATTGCCTGCAGCATGAGGACAGCGGGCGCCCCCCTGCTAACCGCTCCTCCTTCTCCTCCTCTTCCTCTTCATCGCTCCTCCTCTGCACCCTCCCCCTGCTCATCCCCCCCTGGTCGCTCCGCCTTCTCCCCCTGGCCCTCTCCCTCCTCATGGCTCCTCCCCCTCCCCCTGGTCCTGGCCCCCCACCCTCTTCTTCTGCTCCCCCTCCTGCTCGCCCCATCCCCTCCCTCATCGCATCCTCCTCCTCGCCACCTTCCCCCCTCCCCCCCTCCCTAGTGAATCTGCGGGCCGCCCCAGCAGCCTCACGGCACCGCGGACGGCTCGCCGACGCCGAAGCCTCCGCCGCCGCCGACGACGCCGACGACGCCTCCGCCGCCGCCGACGACGACGACGCCGACGCCGTCGCCGGCGACGGCGGCGACGGCGGCGGCGGCGACGTGCCGGCAGGCAGAGGCCGACGACGACCAGGGCAGCCTGGAGGCCACGGCTCCCCTGCCCCACCAGCCTGACAGGCGGCGGCGGGTGGCGGTCGGCGATTCGGGTGATTCGAGAGATTCGGAGAGTCCAGAAAAGAAATTTGGATGAAGACGGTTGTGAGCAGCGGGTAGCTGAATTACTTGAGAGTTGTTGGACAAGGAGGGGGAGGGAGGAGGAGGAGGTGGGTAAAGTCGGGGAGGAGGAGGAGGAGGAGGAGGAGGAGGAGGAGGCGGCGGCGGCGGCGGCGGCGGAAGTAGAGGAGGAGGAGGAGGAGGAGGAGGAGGAGGAGGAGGAGGAGGAGGAGGAGAAGGCGGATGTCTTCCTCTGTCGATGACTTGCAAAGCAGCGACGACGATGACGACGACGACGGCGGCGGCGGCGGCGGTGGCGACGGCTGCGACGACGACTTGGGGGATGTCAAGAGACCACCCAACGATCCTGGCTGGGCCGACCCTGGGCCCATGGTCGGCGCATACGCCCTGCTGGCTGCGCCTGGGAGGACGTACCCACCGATCCCCTCCCACGACGGGCCTGGCCAGGGCCGGCGAGGGGCCCAGACCTCCAACGCGGCGTTTTCCGTTGTTCGTGGCCCTTCGGAGGTCTGGGCCCCTTCCCCCGGGAGCCGCTGTTCCCGGGGCTTCTCTTGCTGCGGCCTCCGGGCCCCGCAGGGACCGCCCGAGGCCGATCGCGGGTGAGAGCTCAGGGCCGTCTTGAGTTCGGGCGATCGCGGACATGGATTCAGGGGGCGTGGATAAGCGACGGGTCCCGTCTCCGTGGGAAATCGCGGATTTCCGCCGCCGGACGGGGCGGCACCGGCCGCATTTTGGGGAGGGCACCTCCTCCGATCCATGGATTTGGCGACCGCGCGCCAAGTCCATGGATCGCTAATCCATGTTTCCGCGCCCCCGATTAAATGGGCGTGATGGCAGGGGGGGAGTCATGGCGTGGGCAACGAGATCTCGCAGGTTCCAGTACCTCCTCGTCCGCGCGCGTGCCTCGGGCCACGGGCCGTGGCTTGCAACTCCCCCCGCCCTTGCCCCCGAGATGTCCGAAGATGTGTTTACCCAATCGCTTCGCTCATTCCGCCGGCCCATAATAACTGCATCGCCGCTGTCGTTTGTCGGGGTGTGCCTCTTGGGGCTCTCTTGAGAGGCCGCTGGGTGGTGTGAAGATGCTGCAGGCCATGCCGGTGGCGACGCCCACACCTCCTCTACCTCTAACCTCACTGTGCGTTGCCATGAAGGCGCACGCGTCTTTGGGGGGCATCCCAGCTCCTGGTGCGGGCTCTGTCCCCCAGGGTGTGGGCACATGCAAATAGGCTCTCAGGCACACTCATCGGTGAAGCCTCTTGGGGGCCGTGTTGGGGCCTCTTTGGGGCCTCTGGGGCTTCTTGAGGTGTCTCTTGGGGGCCTTTTGGGGCCTCCTGGGGGCTTCTTGGGGCTGAAGACTGGACTTTTCGGTTCCTGGCCCCCGTCTTCGGCCCCTCTGAGGGCCCTTTTGGGGCCCTCTTGGGCCGTCATGGGCGCCTCTTGGTGCCCTCTTGGACCGTCTTGGGGCCATCTTGGGCTCTCTTGGGCCCCTCTTGGGGCCGTTTTAGGGCCGTCAGGGGACGATGTTGGAGGCTCTGGGGCAGCTCTGGACGGTGTGAACCCCCAAACGTCGCACATGCGAGAAATGCACATCTTCCAAAAGGAATGGGACGCCTCTTGAGGCTCTATTTACCTAACAGCGAAGACTGATAGGTTTCTAGTAGGGCCAAAAGAGAGCATCATGACGCCCCAGGGGGGTCTGGGCGCGATCCGGGGAGATGCCGGGGATTTTTTTTACCCAACAGTTACACACTTCGTGGTCTTCGAGGTCCCAGAACTCCATTCCCTGGCCACATTCTGAATGCCCGGAGCCAACTGTAGGCCACTTCGTGGTCTTCGAGTTCCCAGAACTCCATTCCCGGGCCACATTTTGAATGCCCGGAGCCAACTGTAGGCCACTTCGTGCTCTCCGAGTCCCCAGAACTCCATTCCCGGGCCACATTTTGAATGCCCGAGCCAACTGTAGGCCATTTCTTGGTCTTCGAGTTCCCATAACTCCATTCCTGGGCATGATTTCGAATGCCCTGAGCCAACTGTAGGCCACTTCACGTTCTTCGAGTTTCCAGAACTCCATTCCCGGGCCACATTTTGAATGCTGAGGCAGGCTGATGCTGAGGCTGAGGCAGGCTGAGGCTGAGGCAGGCTGAGGCAGAGGCCGAGGCTGAAGGCAGATTGAGGCTGAGGCTGAAGCAGGCTGAGGCTGAGGCAGGCTGAGGCTGAGAGGCTGAGGCAGGCTGAGGCTGAGGCTGAGGCAGGCTGATGCTGAGGCAGGCTGAGGCTGAGGCTGAGGCTGATGCAGGCTGAGGCTGAGGCAGGCTGAGGCTGAGGCGAGGCTGACTGGCTGAGGCAGGCTGAGGCTGAGGCTGAGGCTGAGGCTGACTGAGGCTGAGGCAGGCTGAAGGCTGAGGCTGAGGCTGAGGCTGCAGGCTGAGGCTGAGGCTGAGGCTGCAGGCTGAGGCTGAGGCTGAGGCTGAGGCTGAGAGGCTGAGGCTGAGGCTGAGGCTGAGGCTGAGGCTGAGGCTGAGGCTGAGGCTGAGGCTGCTGAGGCTGAGGCTGAGGCTGAGGCTGAGGCTGCAGGCTGAGGCTGAGGCTGAGGCTGAGGCTGAGGCAGGCTGAGGCTGAGGCAGCTGAGGCTGAGGCTGAGGCTGATGCAGGCTGAGGCTGAGGCAGGCTGAGGCTGAGGCCGAGGCTGAAGGCAGACTGAGGCTGAGGCTGAAGCAGGCTGAGGCTGAGGCTGAGGCAGGCTGAGGCTGAGGCTGAGGCTGAGGCTGAGGCAGGCTGAGGCTGAGGCTGAGGCTGATGCAGGCTGAGGCTGAGGCAGGCTGAGGCTGAGGCCGAGGCTGAAGGCAGACTGAGGCTGAGGCTGAAGCAGGCTGAGGCTGAGGCTGAGGCAGGCTAAGGCTGAGGCTGAGGCAGGCTGAGCTGAGGCAGGCTGAGGCTGAGGCTGAGGCTGAGGCTGAGGCTGAGGCAGGCTGAGGCTGAGGCCGAGGCTGAAGGCAGACTGAGGCTGAGGCTGAAGCAGGCTGAGGCGGAGGCTGAGGCAGGCTGAGGCTGAGGCTGAGGCAGGCTGATGCTGAGGCAGGCTGAGGCTGAGGCTGAGGCTGATGCAGGCTGAGGCTGAGGCAGGCTGAGGCTGAGGCGAGGCTGAGGCTGAAGGCAGGCTGAGGCTGAGGCTGAGGCAGGCTGAGGCTGAGGCTGAGGCAGGCTGAGGCTGTGACTGCGACTGCCGTTGCCACTGCGACTGTCATCGCGAATGCGACTACGACTGCGAGAACAGCAGAATTCTACAACAGGATTATCATCTGAATCTTAAGGGGAATGCTTCCAGATATGCTCCTACACATCGCTCTTAGGTTTTGAACTCCGATCTGCTGCTCTGCTGCAATCCGAGTGGGCGCAACCCCTTTTGCTCCGACCAGCGTGCCGGCAGGCTCACGAGTCTCGGGCGCCGGCCGCCCGAGAGGGAGTAAAACCTGGGGCCCCAGGCTTGGGCCCACAGTGGTTGCGGGAGCACGGGAGAGGGGCAGAGGGAGAGCAAAGAGGAAAGGGATAGGCGGGTTGAGGCGAGCCTGGAAATCTTCACACGCCCTCAAAAGGAGACGCCGAAAACCGCCTGGCTGTCACCTCAATCTGCGATGTCCCGCATCTCATTCGCTCTCACGAGTTTGTCCTGCTACCTCTTCTCCGTCTTCCTAGTGTCGATGGCGGTCTTGCGGCTAGCACGCTGCATACTCTTCTTCATCTTGATCGCCGCCGCCGCCGGGTCCTGCACCAGGCTCCACTTGGCCTCCCGCAGCATCTTGTAGAGGTAGACCTTGTCCACCCCAAGCTTCGTCAGCACATCTGCGATGTTCTGAGAGCCGTCAATCCACCTGAGGTGGGTGTTCTCGCAGCGCAGCACTTCTCTGAGCAAGGCGCCCTCGATCGCCATCCTCTTGTCCTTGCTCTTAGCCGAGCCCTCCTTCGTGAGGTGGTCGTAGACAGACTTTGCGTCTGTCGCCCAGAAGCGGGGAAGCCGCTGCACCTCCCCCTGCCAGTTGAGCAAATCCACCGAGACATTCGTAGCCTCTTTGAACAGCACTGCCGCCCAGTCGACGGCCTCCACTGCGTCTGCCAGGTGACTGGCCTCCGCCGCCAAGGTTGAGCGGCACACACGCTGCGTCATGCCGCTCTTCCAGTCCAGTACTGCCACCGGTGCTTGGTGTCCGGCCAGGATGCCGTCGGTCGTGAGGAGCACCACGTGGCCACCGCAGCTCTTGTAGCGCTCAATGTCGTCGTGCTCCGGGCCGTTCGCGTGACCCGCGTCCACGGCCGCGCCGATCACAGCGCTGGACAGCCTCAAGTTGGCCGGGTAGACCAGCGCGACCTCAGCGCCCTTCTTGGCCTCAGACACCGCCAGGTTCGCCTTCACCAGGTCCGCCACACACGGGGCCGCTCGGGCCCTCTGCAGCTCGCCCGAGAGGAAAGCCAGGTCGAGTCGGCACTGTCGACCTAGCCAGCCGATCTCACCAGATACCCTCAGCAGTTCCTTCGCCTCATCCTCGTTCAAGTCCTCCTGCAACTGCTTCCTTCGACCTGCTGGGATCTTGATCGGCTTAAGGGAAGTTGCGTAGTTCACCATCTTAACCAGAAAACCTCTCGAATCACTCGAAAGCTCGCGGCCGCGGAAGGTGAAGGGCAGCTCGCTCCACTTCCACTGGAACGTACCCAGGACCTTCGGCAGGAGGTCCGACAGCTGCATGTCCTTCATCCTCGCCACCAGCACGTCGTGCACGTGCGAGACCGCGATGCCCTTCAGCTGCCCGTCCACGCGCTTGTAGAAGAGCGCCGGCTCCAGGCGCGACTGAAGCCAGCCGTCGGACAGCAAGGCGTCACGCAGCGCTAGCCAGAATAGCCTTGCTGCCTCCGCGAAGC